GTTCCTGCAGCAACGCCACAGCTTTCTGCTTTGAGAATGGTGATGCAGTTCTGAAGCAGTTATCTCTAGGACAGGTATGCAAGCAAAACAGCATACACAGTACATGTGCAGTGCTATATGATACACTAGTAGTGCACTAGCCACTCACTCTCTATATATGTACACAGTGACCATAAGCAGTTCACCTCTATACTACATGTACATGCATGCCATATTCGGCATACACATTAGCAAGTTGTGTTCATTAAACGGTGTGTGGGAGGGGGTCTGAGAACGAAAAGAACAATGTTCGTTTCAGGGACGACAAACAACCTTTACAACGACACATTTAGCATCCATAAGCGGTTGTGGAATTACGCCGTCTCACCATTATGACTTCATTCATGGAAACATCTGCAAGTATAGCATATCCAAATTACAGTCAAACAAAAGAAAAAAAGAGGACACACTTCAGGCTCTTCACGAACATCTTGAACGTTTTCGGTTTCACAAGTATACTTTCAAGCCTTCTCATCAGGTGATGATACAGGCAAAGGGAAAGGAACAAGAACAGTGGATTAAGTACAGTAAGGAGGTGATAACTCAGTGCAAAGAAGAACGGATAACTAAAACTAACAGCAAAAATGTGTGACCTATACACATAGAAATAATGACACAAAGGTGCAAGTGCTAGAAAACCTAACAAGCATGACATGTGGTGTGACAACAAGAGACTTATGAATATTTATGACGTCATAAAATGTTATGGTTGATGTTTGTGCAGGGCTTGGATCAGATCTGCTTTGACTTTGGAATCTTGCTGGCATTGTTCTTCGCCTTCTTCATTTCCGGACTTCTGATACTGGTGTTGCGTATCCGCTGCATCAAGCGCTAATGTCTGCCAGGCGCAATGCGTTGACGTGTCACTCTAAGGTGCTAAACCTGACTTCATGATGGTGTTGTTCTAGTGTTGAGATGATTCAGTATTCCGCTATGTTTGTCAGTGTCTTTCATGTTGCTATTTTGTTAGTCATACAGCCCATATACACTCGTTAATGTCAACTTCAATAGTGGACATTCCCAGACAAGTATTCTGCCTGTCACGTGTGTGTGTGTGTGTGTGTGTGTGTGTGTGTGTGTGTGTGTGTATGTGTGTGTGTGTGTGTGTGTATGTGTGTGTATGCGTGTGAGGTCAATTTAGTTCTTGTTTATCTGTTGTTGTGGTGTGTTGTGTGCCGTGGTCAAGTGTGTGTGTTTTCCATCACGTTCATATCTGCACTGAGTGTATAGTGTATATGTATGCTGGTATGTAGCTGCTGGGTGAGACTATAGTTATGTTTTGAGATTCTAGTTTAGATCATTTTATGTGCAGGCTGATTAGAATGGGTCATGTGAATTTCAGTACACTTGCAAACACTACATATATTGTTACTAGTAAACAGTGCTCTCTTTGTCATCTCCAACAACTGCTGCTATTATGCAGTGTATGGCATGTCAGTGACTCAGTTGTTTTTTATAGTTTTTCAGTGTCTGCTGTTTTATTTTTGTTGCTAAAGTAATGCAGGGTTTATACAAACACTGACTGTTGTGTCATGGCTACAAGTGAGAAGATCTTCAACCCTGCTGAGTGCTCTGTGAATTTGCTGTGTATGTGTGTGTGTGTGTACGTGTGTGTGTGTGCGTATGTGTGTGCGTGCGTGTGTGTGCGTGTGTGTGTGTGTGTGTGTGCGTGTGTGTGTGCGTGCGAACATGTGTGTGTGTGTATGTGTGTGTGTATGTGTGTGTGTATGTGTGTGTGTGTGTATGTGTGTGTGTGTGTATGTGTGTGTGTGTGTGTGTGTGTGTATGTGTGTGGGTGTGTGTGTACATGAATGTGTGTGTGTGTGTGTGTGTGTGTGTGTGTGTGCGTGTGTGTGTGTGTGTGTGTGTGTGTGTGTGTGTGTGTGTGTGTGTGTGTGCGTGTGTGTGTGTGTGTGTGTGTGTGTGTGTGTGCGTGCGTACATGTGTGTGTGTATGTGTGTGTGTGTGTGTGTGTGTGTGTGTGTGTGTGTATGTGTGTGTGTGTGTGTGTGTGTGTGTATGTGTGTGTGTGTGTGTGTGTGTGTGTGTGTGTGTGTGTGTGTGTATGTGTGTGTGTGTGTGTACATGAATGTGCGGAGTGGTCGTAGGTCCTTGGTTATAAACCATTGTACCAGTCCGAGTTGCTATAAGTTCATTTCTCATTTTCTGATCTCGTTTTCCAACACACAGTGACTGTCCTGTGTTGTACACCAGTAGGTGATCGCTCTCTCTCTCCCTCCCTCCCTCCCTCCTCTCTCTCTCTCTCTCTCTCTCTCTCTCTCTCTCTCTCTCTCTCTCTCTCTCTCTCTCTCTCTCTCTCTCTCTCTCTCTCTCTCTCTCTCTCTCTCTCTCTCTCTCTCTCTCTCTCTCTCTCTCTCTCTCTCTCTCTCTCTCTCTCTCTCTCTCTCTCTCTCTCTCTCTCTCTCTCTCTCTCTCTCTCTCTCTCTCTCTCTCTCTCTCTCTCTCTCTCTCTCTCTCCATCCCTCCATCGCACGCTCCCCCCCCCCCCCCACACACACACGCACGCACGCACAACCCCCCCCCCCTGCATACACACCCACACGTTTGTTCGTTGCTGCCCCCTCCCCCTCGGCTCACAATCTGTAAGACCACATCTGTGAAGTACAACACAATCATTAGCCAGTTCACTCGGAAACTCTCTCTCCCCCCTCCCCCCCCCCCCCCCACACACACACATGCATACGTGTTTTCAGTGTCTCCTCGATCTGCTGTACCTTGGCTCGTTCAAGGAGAGCACACACATACACACACACACACACACACACACACACACACACACACATACACACACACACACACACACACACACACACACACACACACACACATGCTCACCCCTAACTCTTGCCCCCCCCCCCCCCCTGCTCCCAATCTGTAAGACCACGTCTGCAAAGTCGAACACAACCATTAGCCAGTTCACTCGGAAATCCCCCCCCCCCCCCCACACACATGCATTATAATATGCACAAGAGTGTGTGCTGTGCCGGTATAACAGGAGCCAGGTAAAACCTTTCTCCGTCATAACCACACACAATGTTAACCCATGCACAATGCCAGTGATTGACATTCATGTGAATCACTCCACGTGTTCTTCACAAACAAACATACAGTCTGCATACCGGTGCACTGCACACAGCCAACTGTCAGCGTAATTCAGGAAACACAGAAGAGACAAGGAAATGGAGTGAAAACATCGTGTCAGTACAAGACACTCAAAATAATATTTTTGTATTGCAGGCAGTGTTATCAGCATGGCAGCGCTCAAGAATTGAGAAAAGATTGAAAAGTTTTTGAAAATTATCTGCTATATAGACAGGCACCACTGGCAAGGAAAGCTCATACGGTCAACTCAGTGTTTGGCCTGGGCAAGAGGAAAATGGGCTTTGCACTGCCCCGTTATAGGCAAGCAGTTAACGGTAGCGCCTGAAAAATCAAGTTTTGTACAAGAATAGAACACAGTGTTCACCGCCAGAGAGGATCTGTGCCGGGGCTGGTGCTGGCTATAACCATGGCAACTGTACATCGTCATAGTTACAATCAGAGCTATCCAATCATCTGGAGAGCACATTCAGGATCATCTACCAGCGGCTGTAGCTCGGACACCAACCTGCTGTTATCCCCATACTCTGGAGAGAAGTTGAGCACACTAAGCTTGCTACACTGGTGAACAGCCTGTACGAACTGGGCTAGTACACGTCGTTCCTCCGATCTAGGAACATACGTGAAGGAATACGCCTGGACATACAGTACATCCAGGTTCCTGTTAGAATGGAGAATTTTCAGAATGGACGTGAGCGGCACATCAGCACCGTCCTCACTGCATAACCCGTCAAGTGAAACAATCCGCAACTTCCTACATGAACTCAGCGCTCGGCAGACCAAAGCTAAGCCATCAATGCCGACTTTATTCCAATCTAAATGCACATCCTCTAGGCTGGACGATGCGGACAGAATGGCTGATGAAAAGACATTACCATCGGTACAGCGATTCCTTTCCAAAGAGAGCACACGTACATGTGTGTAGTGTGCCAAGCCATTAAGAATGCAGCGCATAGCAGTGCTGGATAACCTACACCAATAAAGGCGCACTTCCTGCACGTCCACACAAGAATGGGTTGTGAGGAAATGAGCAATGGCAGTGCAATCTAACAGGCTGAGTTCCACAAAATCAAAATCCAGAGAAAAGACCTGAGAGAAGAATGAACAATGGCCATTACAAGATGACGTACCTTGATACTGGCAGTGCTCTAGATAAGCTACTAACAAATCAGCTAGGCAACGGCGTTCTCCCTCGTCAAATGGTGCAGGAGGCCGTATAGAAGCAGTAGTAGCAGCCGGGGCAGCTCCAGGTGACGATGGTGTCGATATCTCCGATGTTGCGCTTGTCATCGCATGCTGCTCACAATGCGATGCGGTCCCGGGATCCACTTTACGTACAGCCGACAGGAACACCTCTGCACTCGCCTCCGCTGCCTCGTTCTTCCATACGCTCACAAGAGTATCCAGGTACAAGTCGTCCGTCAACTCCCTGCCTCGTGGCAGAGCATTGTCGACACGCTGACGACCACGTCCTTGCCCGGCGGTGCCAACCAGCAGCTGATCGGCGAGCTCTTTCATCTTTTCAACTGACAGCGCCGATTTCAGCACCGCATGGATACGGTCCACGTCGTTGCTTTGCTTGGTTGGCTGAGAACGGCTCACAATGTCGTCGAGCAGGCGTGTATCAGTCTGGCTGCATGCACGTTGTGTACGGTCGCCGTCGCAGATTATCCGCCACAGATGCTCCATGATGGCGACTGCGGGCTTTGGCGGTGTGAGCGCGATCAGGAAACGCCAGAACATGGTCATGTGACCGCTGTAATGGCCGACTCTCCTCACCAGCCACGCAGCGTCGTTCTCGTCATTCAGCATCTCGCTAGACACGTACCAGGCCGCCAAGAACTCCTGAATGGACAAGTGAGCAAATCGATATTGCCGGTCTTCTGTTGAGCTGGTGCTCTTGTAAGCCATCAGCAATCCTAATTCAATTGCTGGCACGCTTAGTTGTGCCGAAATGACATCCTCCTCGTTGAACACCATCTTTTGCTGAGCTAGCATAGAGAGTGCAAAAGCAGATAGCTCCTTCAACACTTCAACCTCGTCCGTCTTGATGGTGGAAAGTGTCTTGTAGCGTTTGCCCGCACGTAGTTCCATGACACGGCGGACAAGCAACTCGTACAGTCCTGTACTGGATTCCGGCAATTTACTACCGTCTCTGTCGTCCATGAACAATTCACAGGCCAGCGCAGCAAACAGAGGTGTACCCATTAGCGACATTGTGCCCTCTTGTGAGCGGAGCTGCTCCAGCATAGCCTCGCCTTTCACACCGCCCACCACTTTCTTCACGTACGTTTCAATGTTGTCTGGTGAGAATCCAACCACCTCCACTTGCTGTTGATACTCTCCACACTGCGACAGGGTATGAGCATCAGTACATGGTCGAGACGTCACCACCACATGCATATCACCACTACGCCTTCTCAACAGTAGATCACGCATGTATTCACTGCAGTTGTCCAATTTGCACTCATCCAGCCCGTCTAGCACAATGCAAAGACGGGACTGGTTGCTGCGAAAGAACCGGGACATCTCCAGCAGCTCATCTGTCTCCACATCCAGACTGGAGAATCGACGTGCCAGCAAGTCGCACAAGCTCGTAGCAGCTTGCACCTCGGCACGTCGTAATTCCACTGCCAATACCAGATCAAACTTTCCACGCCACAGCTCACCTTTAGACCAGAGGTATTCCAGCATGATCAGAAAGATCGTGGATTTGCCACAGCCAGCGCTTCCAAACGCTAGTACATTCTTGGGTTCTTTGGCACGCGCCAGTAAACCAGAATCAGCTACCTCATGGTCACAGCCCGGGCGTGGCGCGGCCCCCTGATTGCAAGACCGCTCGGTGATAGCGGAGAAAATATCTTCCAGTTCAATGCCACGCTCGGCCGTAGCGACCCTTTGCGGCTGAGCCTCGGAGAACAATTTCAACTGGCGTGCTCGTTCAGAAGCAGACGAAAAGGACGATGACTCGTTACGGAAAAGTTTGGAAAGTTCGTCCTTTGTCAGCAACGTCAAGTTGACAAAAATGTCTTTCAATGGGATTTTGGCATCGCTGGCAAGGCCACCGCTAATCTGAATGCCAGCCTTCTCAACTGCCTTAGCCAGCAAATCACGGGCAGTTCGGACAGAAGCTGGCAACTTCTGCTCGTCGGACGCCATGGGTCACCGACTGGTTTGTGTCCAAGTAGCTGCAAGGAGCACCAGGCAACAACGTCGTGCAAGGAGACGCTACAAGTATTTTTACTTTGCCTGCATGACAGATGATTGTACGAATCCTGGGTGGTCGGTGTGCGCGAGGAGGTGACGGTACGTGTTTAGCTCAGAACTATCCTCGGATCGGACTTTGTAGATGTTGCGTTGTTTTTCCACCACTACAAATCATGCATTTTGTGAAGTCCTGACCTGTGGTAATGGTGGTAGGTAGATCTACATGACATGTACACGTAC